ATTAGGTAAGCTATAATGAAGTAAATTGCTCATAATAAGATAATCGTTTAATTATTACAATTTTTAGTTCGTCTAACTGCTAATGATGACCAATTCATTGTATGTGGATCAAATTCATTAAATTTATTAATTGAAATGAAGATTGATCTGAGAAATTAGAATCTTTAAAATATCAAGATTAAGAATACTACTATTGTTGGGGGTAATTTTGTAAGATGTAATTTAAGTGGATCGGAATTCGATAATGTAGATATTAGTGGAGTGAACTTAAATGGAGCTTAACTATTTAATTGTAGATGGAAGAATTTGAAAATACAAGAATTGAATAAATTTGTAGGTCATAGAAATGCAGTAAGGTCAGTATGTTTTTCTCCTGATGGTACTACATTAGCATCTGGTAGTAATGATAAGTCAATACGTCTATGGGATGTGAAAACAGGATAATAAAAAGGCAAATTGGATGGTCATAGTGATTCTGTCCGAACAGTAGGCTTCTCACCAGACGGTACTGTTTTAGCATCTTGTAATCATGATAAGTCTATTCGTTTATGGGATGTTAAGACAAGAAAAAAAAAGGCCAAATTAGAAGGTCATACTCTTGGTGTAAACATATTCTGTTTCTCTTTTGATTGTACTACCTTAGCATCTGGTGGTGAAGATAAGTCCATTCGTTTATGGGATGTTAAGACAGGATTATAAAAAGCTAAATTAGATGGTCATCGTAATTCAGTCTTATCAATCTGTTTTTCTCCTGATGTCACTACATTAGCATCTGGTAGTGCTGATAAGTCCATTCGTTTATGGGATGTTAAGACAAGATAATAAAAAGCCAAATTGGATGGTCACACTAGTAATTTATACTCGGTCTGTTTCTCTCCTAATGGTACTACATTAGGATTCGGTAGTGTAGATAACTCTATCTATTTATGGGATGTTAAGACAGTATAAAAAAAAGCAAAATTAGAAGGTCATATTAGCACAGTCTTATAAGTCTGTTTCTCCCCTGATGGCTCTACATTAGCATCTAGTAGTTATGATAAATCTATCCGTTTATGGGATTTTGAAGCAGGTTAATAAATAGCCAAATTCGATGGTCATTAATACTAAATCAACTCAATTTGTTTCTCTCCTGATGGTACTACATTAGCATCTAGTAGTGAGGGTAAGTCTATAGGGTTATGGGATGTTAAGACAGTATAATAAACAACCAAATTAGATGGTCATTAATATTCAATAAACTCAGTTTGTTTCTCCCCTGATGGTACTACATTAGCATCTGTTAGTATTGATAAGTCTATACTTTTATGGGATGTTAAGACAGGAAAATAAAAATCCAAACTGAAAGGTCATTCTGTCTGCTTCAGTCTTGACGGTACTCTCTTAGCATTTGGTAGTTATGATAAGTCTATTGGTTTATGGGATGTTAAAACTGGAGAATAAAAAACCAAATTGGATGGTCATACTAGCAATGTCTACTCAGTGTGTTTCTCTCCTGATGGAACTCTATTAGCATCTGGAAGTGCTGATAAATCTATCCGTTTATGGGATGTTAAGACAAGATAATAAATAGCCAAATTAGATGATCATATTAGTAATGTATACTCGGTCTGTTTCTCTCCTGATGGTTCTATATTAGCATCCTGCAGTGTAGATAAGTCTATTTATTTATGGGATATTAAAACTGGATAATAAAAACTCATATTAAATGGCCATAGTAATTATGTAAGATAAGTTTGTTTCTCTCCTGATGGTATGACATTAGCATCTTGTAGTGCAGATAAGTCTATCCGTTTATGGGATGTTATAACTGGATAATAAAAAGCCATATTGAATGGTCATAGCGAATTGGTTCAATCAATTTGTTTTTCTCCTAATGGTATTAATTTAGCTTCTGGTAGTTGGGATAACTCTATCCGTTTATGGGATATTAAAACAGGATAATAAAAAGCCATATTGAATGGTCATACTAACTATGTCAATTCAGTTTGTTTCTCTCCTGATAGTACTACTTTAGCATCTAGTAGTCGTGATGAATCTATCCGTTTATGGCATATACAGACTGAATAATAAATTTAATCTGCAGATAATCTTAACAAAGAAATTTTAGCATAATTTAAAAATCCATCCTTTTAAAATAATTCTATTACTAAAAGTAATATTTTTCTAAGAGTATTTTAGTTAACCCCAATATTCCGATTCTAGTAATAGCTACATATCCATATTTTTTAGCAAATGGTGCTTTTATTTAAAATGGAAAATTTGTTCATCAATCAGGAATTGATTTATTGACATTATTTAAATAAAGAGGATGTTTTATTTTTTAAAATAAAATACCAAAAGAATAACTGTAAATGTGATTATTATTAATTACAAAAATTAAATTACAATTATTTTTTTTTGTATTATTTTTAATGCTATAATTTAAAAATTCAGCTTTTCATTCTTATAGTTTTCAAGCTTTAATAAAATACATAATTGCATGCATATTTAGGTACAATTTCATTAATTTTATTCATATAATGGCTAAAAATATAACTGAAAGTGAAAATTAGAAAATCGGGTTATTTAAAGAAAAATAATCTAATTTGTTATCTCATCACATTTATTTTTTTTAATTACCTTATTACAACTTCTCAAAATTAAAAATTACAAGAGCTAAGAAAATAAGTTATAAATGATGTTAAAAGTGGTTGTATTCTATCATTTAAATGAAAAAACAAGGAGGTCAAGAACTTAATAAATAATTTTTATGTCTTTTTCTACCTCTTTATCATTGAATAATTTGTTATCAGTGCATTCAATATTGTGAATTTCAAAATTCTTAATTATTTATCATCATCATAACTACTTGTAATAGTGGATTCATCTAATGTTTCGCTTAAGAAACTTGGTCAAATCCGCAAATTAATCTTTCTGCACAAGCATTGGCATTTCCATATAATTTTACAAGAGATTTATCTTTGTTATCAAGGAATGATAGTTGTACAACAATATTTGATTATCATTGAGGTTAGCTTTTCCATCACATTTTATTGAATAATAAATATTTTAATAATATTCATTAAAGTACTGTTGGGTTTAAAACCCAGTTAATAAGAACGAAAATAAACATAATTTCTTGACATAAAATGAAAATCATCGAAATTCTATTACTCCTTTTAATTGTCTTTTCAGTGTTCTCACAAGCTACTTCTTCAACTGATCCAATAACTTTCCAAAAGTAAAATCATAAATTAATTTTTTCTAGCTGGCTCTGGATTTTCAGGCTCCTCATAAGGTACCCCTACTAGCCAACAAAGATAATAAAATACATCAGGGTAAATTATAATATTTTATGATTTTAGGTGGCTAGTAACCAGGAGGCTCATAACATGTGGTTAGTAAGGTGGCTCATAGAAAAGAGGAAAGACCAAGAAATGCTTACCAACATAATCATAAGCAAATGGAAATTAATAGAGTTAATAAAAAGTATAATAATTATCAACTTAATAAATTCTATCTGGAAATCAATTACCAAGAACTTAAACAACTCAATAATAACCTGCTCCTACTGGAAAATGATAATAACCAACTCGAACATAATAACCAAGTTGATAAATGGGATAATTCGGTCAAGGGATAAGGAACAACTAAGAACCTCCTTAATTAAAAGGATAATGGAATGAAGATTCAAAATAATAAGAACGATGTGTTGTGTTGAAGTGGAAGTCACTTGTGCTGATACCGAAGTTGTTTTCAAAAATAAATGTG